TAATATTTATAAGGCTTTCAGGTGTGGAAATCTGACCGCAACTGAGGTGTCGACATGTTGCACGTAGGATTCTAAGGGGAAAGGGTTTGTGATGTTTTAGAAGTCAAGAAGCGCAACTTTTGGCACCCCAGTGCGTTATTACTAGGTATTAGCCTTGTGTTTACAACTAATCATGAGAAATGTTGTCAGGTTCGGCATTAACGTTGTCCTGTTACAAAGTTAAGAACAAATAAACATATAATCAATATTATATAATATGTTTCAAGCGAGTTGATATCAAAATTATGGAACTTATGTTGTTTCCAGCACCTTCTTAAAACCACAAACAGCGCCCTGCGTTATTACTAGGTATTAGCCTTGTGTTTACAACTAATCGTGAGCAATGTTGTCAGGCTCGACATTAACGTTGTCCTGTTATAAAGTTGAACAAATAGACTTATAATCCAAGTTATATAATATGTTTCAAGCGAGTTGATATTACAATTATGGAACTTATGTTATTTCCAGCACCTTCTTAAAAACACAAACAGCACCCTTCAAGAACCCTAAAGTTTACGCTTCTTACTCTGTTCCAACATGACACTTGCGGTCTACAGCGGATCGGATTAACACGTCCATTTTGCGTGGCAGGTACAGCACGGTCAGATTTCCACAACCGTTTAAATTTATAAGGTTTATAAGGCTTTCAGGTGTGGAAATCTGACCGCAACTGAGGTGTCGACATGTTGCACGTAGGATTCTAAGGGGAAAGGGTTTGTGATGTTTTAGAAGTCAAGAAGCGCAACTTTTGGCACCCCAGTGTATGTGTTTCTTTTTGGATGCTTCCAGCTTGGTCTACCATTGTGAGTCGTTGGCTTTCACCAGCGTTGCTTATACAAAGCACCGTTATTTGCAGGAGAGTCAATCACTGGTTCTTTTTGCCAACATGTGTGTGGCATTTAAAGGACCACACCAACCCAGTGGGTTCTAGAACGTTGTTGCTCGTCTTCCGCAGCATATGTTTGGTTCTCCCGCGATCCAACATTGACACACCCATGATCACCCATGTATTCAAAGTTATTCAACAAGATTCAAAAATTGGAGGATTCGCCGTCCCCTTTCAGCCGTGGAGTGCCAATCGCCGCGGGTCGCATTTTCGGGATGAAGTGTTCACCGACATTTGCCGACATGTCAAAGCTCCGAATGAGGGCACATTGGGGTGCGCCTTCCCTGAGATTTGGATTGTCGATCCCCTTCTAAGTGAATCATGGTGAATGACCTCCCAACATGTCTATAGGAAAGCTTGACCGTACTAGCGATCTGTACATGAAGGTGAAACCAGCCAGGCTGTGAACCAATCAACCTATTCAAAGCCGCCCTGCCTTTGAAGGAGGGCACCATCGTAGCAGCCTTCGAAGTGCAGGGTGGGAGAGATGAGGGCTCGGACACCGAGACCGGGGCGACCAGTGCGGGTGGGATGTGGGATGTGGGGCGACCCTGGTGACTGAAGATCTGGGAGTTTTTGTTTTCTCCAACTCTTTGGGTTGCCAAATTGCCAAGGACGTTGGGGAGGGTGAAAGCACTTCCCAGGGGTTGCGTAGGCCAAGGGGCTATGGCTATAGTAAGAGTTTAATGTGTGGTTCTCGATTTTGGGTTGGCAACATTAACAGCGAAGAGTGGGCCAGCACTGTTGACAAGCACATCAAGCACCCCAAGCACCCTACAGGTCAGTTGGACCTCATTCGGCTAGCGGTCTCAGGACCAGGTTTCATTGAGTCTTTGGACCTGTAGGGTTGTGGTTCTCAAGGACCTATGCGGCGACCGGCGGGATGAGCCTGAATAGAGTAATGTTCGTTCATGTTCAGCTTGAGGCGGTTGTTGGAGAAGATGGCCCATCCACAGGATTTACGGTTGCAGCTGCTAAAGCCCTGGGATATTACCACTACTTGACTTCATGCTTGTTGTTCGCAAGATGTGCTTTGATGGTGCAGGACTTCTTCAAGGAACTCATTGTTTCAAGACTCCGTATCTTGAATCCTCATCCTGCTGCTGCCCAATGATACAGTTGCCGTTGCGCTGACGTCTTCGTTCAGACGTGACAAAACTAGACCAGTGGTGCCTTTGACGGTATTTGTAGACTCAGCGTGGAATGGGCAATTTGTTGCCCGTGGGCCGTGGGACTCATTTCAAGCGGTGAGCCCAATCAAAGTCTTAAACATGCATTATTATTACCCATGTACGCCCATCATGATCACAGACAGAGAGTGAACCCCAAAAAATGTTCCAAACCACCATGTTGGCCTTCTCGTCCAAGTAGGTCTTAAGTAGACACTTTCTTTGGGAGGGGTTCACGGTTTGGCCTTAGACGTTCTGGAGGGGTCCATGATGTCGCTTGGATGGTCTCGTCGCCAGGAGGTCCAAAGGCTTTGGTACTTCGAGGCTGCATGTTTCTGAGTCTCCTTCGCCAGGCGGGATGGGACTGCGTTCGGTGACCGCGTTGATGCTGAAGGGTTTACATTGAGTGGACTGCTTAAGGTTTGAGAAGTGCACATCTCCAATTTCATGAAACTTGGTGTTGTGAATGAGTCTGAATGGTCGTAGATCGCTTGGGTGAGAACTGAGGAACAGGTGCAGCAAAGCCCAAAAACTCACAGGATGAATAGATCATCTCATATTGCTCGAAGGTTGTGACATTTTGTCTCACGCAGCTTGACGCAGGAACAGTAGATTGGTGCAAAAGGACGATGCGTTACGTTTGCCGAAAGCATTTGAGGCTCAAAAGCTCAGCCGGGCCAACAACGCACGCCTTTGCTGAACAAAGAACGATGTTCTCCAAGGTGAGACCACTTCTCTTGGGCAAGCCCAAGTCCACCATTGCGGCTGTGCATGCTGCCGTCGCGCCATTTGAGGGGGCGAAGTGTGTGGCAGCATCCTTGATGAACATGGGCAAGCAAATCCAAGTGCCTCGCAAGCTGCACAGTCAGCGCTTTACCCGATTCACCATGTTGGAGAATGGGGCCGGGTTCTGTACCTAGTATACAGTATACATGTTTGTGAGATTTTGTGAGTATGTTTGTGGCTCCAGCTGCCACCCCGCTAAAAACATGAAGTTGTGTGTGTGTGTCACTTGTTCGACCCTTTTCGGGACTGGGCCTGAGCAGCAAATCCGGTGGCCATTCTGCAGAATACAAGTATGTTGCACAAAACCTTATAACAATACAGTATATATATAGTATAGAACATCATCAGACAATGATGTAATGTAGAGACTTAAACAAATGTGAAATCCAATGCTTCGTTCACCGTTTTTTTATGCCGACCGATTGGTCGCAGCTACAGATTGGCCCGCTTTCGTTGGACGAGATGGTGGGAGTCGTTCGGACGGAGCTTTTGTTGTTCTCATGGCGGGTCCAAAAAGAGGAACATGTTTAGCATATGGTTTATTGTTGGACAATGTGTTTTCTTTGTTGGAAGTATAGCCGTGAGGTGGGGTTCTCAGATGGTTCTGCCTTCGAGCTACATGGTTTATGGCTTCGTGATGCCTGCAGAGATGCCCTGGTGGTCTCTCAACAGGCAGGTGACTTGGCAGCATGACTAGGTCTTGTCATTTGACCCTGTTTCCGGCGAGTCTATTCCCACGATCCAAAGAGGACCACTCAATTGACACCAGGAGTATGATATATATATATATATATATTGATTAAACAAATAAAAGAACATAATATGTTCATAGTTCTGTCCGAAAGCCTCAGCTCCTGACTTTCTAAAGCCTCAGTCACCACCCACATCACCCCATAGATGTCCATCCTTCTTCCACCCTCCGAGCGACCGCCTTCACGGTGCGCCACGTCAGGTGAGCGGTACTTGGACAAGATCGCCTTTTCGCCCGAAGGGCGCCACAGCCCTGGTGAGGTGAAAGAGGCCAAGATCTGCGACGATGGTTTGGAAGTCACCTGGAGAGGTGGGGGACCTGACGCTCCCCCGGCTTGCCGGGACGATCCCGATCGAAGTTCGAGAGATGTGAGGGGAACTCGAGATACGCGCGCGCCGGGAGGTCTTGTGTGTGTGAGAGGGAGGCAGAAGAAGAATATGGAAAAATCATGTGACGTTGCCATGGTACCCCCCCGAAGCTAGATCTTCCAAAGCACTGAAGCTGCCGGGTATGTTAGAAACTCCGGGTCGACCGGTCACTCTCCTCCAGGCGATCCGCAACTGGGGGAGGCGTCCAGTCACTTTTCGAGCGGCTTCTTGCGGATGTATGCGCCCATCGCTGGGAAGGTGCTGGAGGGTCAACGTCATCATCCCCGGCACGAGGACTTCCGCTGGCTGCGCGGCTACTCCGGATTCGCAGGGGCACCAGCACCGGACTTGAGCATGAAGAAGTTGTGGAAAAACCAGGTTGGAGTGCTGGATCCCTTTGAGCACCGGGACTACCATGCGGTGAGACATTCAGACTCCGGCAACTTGGAGATGATGCAGGCTGTGATGCAGCACGGAGCCATCATTTTGGACAATGTTCCACCCTCAGAGGACTCAAGTGTCTTGCTGGACTTTGCCAACAATTGCCTCGGTGGCATGCAGAAGGACCCAGCACGAGATGAGCCAAACTGGGTGATCAAACAGAAGGCAGGTGCTGTGAGTGTCAGCTATGCTCAGGATACGCGTTTGAACAACCACACGGACCAATCAGTGCCGGCCCATGGCATTCCTGCATTGCTCTTGGTGATCAATTACGTGGAAGGAAGTGGAGCCAACACGCTTGTGGATGGATATGCAGTTGCTGAAGCATTGAGGGAAAGACATCCCCAAGCTTTCCAGATGTTGGCCAGCTATGGAAACTGTCAAGAGCGAGACTTTGTCAAGTCTCGGGTGGATTCCTCTCAGACTGGCACACAATCAATGCTTTTGGCGACCAGAAGCCCCATCATCCAAACGGACGAGCAAGGGAATTTGATCCGTGTGCAATTCAATGAGGTCTTCAGAACTCCAAGCACCGTGCCTTATGAGAAGTTCGAAGCATGGTACCAGGCGCCAATCAATGTGAATCTGTCTAAACATGTCTAAAACATACGTACCTACTGTAAATTAATTCAAAGTTTATTTAGTATACGTAGTATACGGTAAGTTTCAGTTAATTAATTGATGTTAGTCCGGTGGATACGCCGTGCAAGCCCTACATCACATCGCCCCCTTTTCCGAGCAATTCCCTCTCATCTCGCACGTTCGCATGCGATCCTCCTTAGTACGCACCCAGCTCCTCTTTCCTTGGAGGCCTATTTGCTTTGGAACGAGCTGATTCATGCGCCGGAGTTTGAAGTGGAGGTGCCGATTTCACAGGGCTCAATGCTGATCCTGGACAATTGGCGTGTTCTGCACGGCCGCGCTGGTGGGAAGAGTAGCCCCAACCGTGTGATCATGGGGGGCACTGTGGTGCGAGAGGGCTTTCACTCGAAAGCTGTGCAGCTCATGGGCGGCTTCTATCCTCCCGAAGAAGCCTGAACGTCATTTTTGTCCCAGTAGAGTTGCGAGAGATGAGTGATGATGAGTGGCAATTTTGCCACTTGGTACAGCACCATACTTCGCCCAGAAATGTACAAAGGTGGTGAACTGTAAACCACGATGCAGTCCATTTTTGCCAGGTGATCCAGGTCTGGGACCCAGGCAGCCCCAGACCACACCCATGTGAGGCTCATGAAGTAAAAGCTTCTGATGCTTCAGTTTGCCTTTAAAGCCATTTGAAGCCTGACTTCAGCTTTGAACCCTGACTCGATTGTTGGGGCGTAGTTAGGGAAATTGGAAGATGCACGCTCATCGATCCATCCATTTTGGCGCACAACCTCTTTTGCAGAGATCTACTGACGAATCAGTGGCACCCACGTTCCATATCGTCGCTCTGCCGATCGTGCCCCAAAAAGTGGTCCTCACAGAGCTTTGGACTCCAGAAAACTATTTAACATGGACGCGACCCTCAGAATGGATGGCACCCTGAACGACTGAAGTTTTACTTTACCATCCAGTGGTTGTTGAGAGTCCATGTTGCTTTTCAGCGGGGTAGACTCAGTCAACATCTCTAGACCATTTGACACGACACCCTGGACAGAGCCAACTAAGGGCCGCCTAAGACGGGGATCAAGGCGCTGTTTGTAGACTCATGACCCACAGACTCCGAGGATCTCGAGTTGATGTGGCAGATTGTGACAGGATGCCGATGGATGCCGTTCGCATGCCACCAAACTCCAATGCCCTGCACATGCCACCCGTTCGCAGGATGAGCAACTGGCCAGCAAGCTTTGAGAGAGTGCCTGAGAGCTTGACCAAGCCGAAGACAGTGGTGGGCTTTTCGGTGGGCAGGAGGAAAAAGAAGGCGAGCGGCTTGCTGGGTGTGTGTGTGTGTGTGTGTTCCTCAGTCAATACTAATAGGTCCTTTCAACATACATCAGGTAGCTTTGCTTTTTTGCGCATCTTTATGTACCCAACCTGGGGATGCTGCAGTGTTGATTACTGTAGTGTTGCATTCCAACCCGAGTTTAGTTCCCTTCAATGCAATTTAGCTCAAGAGCTTCCGGGTGCGCGGAGAAGATGTGGAAGGCCACCGCATTCGCAGCCTTCGCGCTGGTAAATGGCCAGCAATGTCACGTTTCTCCACATGCATCTCCAGGCTATGTTTGGGACACTTTTCCAAATGCAGGCCCTGAGCAAGTGATTGGTGCCAACAACCGGGTGCCCATCGTTCCTTTAGTCACTTCCAACCTTTGTGGAGCTGGGAATATGCCCTCGTCCGCCTTCGCCTTCGCCGGGATTGAGGGCACCGAGTGGAAGGCCGCCCCGAAGGCGGCGCGGCGTTTGGCCGGCAGCATGCTCATCGAGCCCTTGCCATTGGCGATGCCGACCACCGCCGCCCCAGCTGCAGCTGAAGTGGCGCCAACGGCCCCAGCCACCCCGGCGGCCCCAGCCACCCCGGCGGCCCCAGCCCCTCCGGCGGCCCCAGCCCCTCCGGCGGCCCCAGCAGCTCCAGCCCCAGCCGCTCCGGCGGCCCCTGCGGCCCCGAAGGCGCCGGCCGCCCCGGCAACTCCCACGGTGCCGAAGATGCCGCAGATGTCGGTGGAGTCCGTGGAGTCAGTGAAGATCCCAGCGCTGACGGGTGATTTTGGAGACCAAGAACCTGCCAAAGCTGCCAGCGTCACTACAGCACCAAGCGTGGTCCTTCATGGCCCCAGCTTTCAAGTTGGGACAGGATGTTCTCAGAAGCTTTCACATGTGGCGATTGCTGCAGGCATCCCAAGGCCACAGCTACGGCTCTATTTCGAGGCCTGTGACAAGGAGCCCGTGGCCGTGGTAGCGGTGGATCTCATTAGCAGTACTTCCTCTACAGCCGTGGGAGAGAAGCTGAAAGATTGGATGTGCCAGGTGGATTCTAGCAGTTGCCTTTCAGCGATCCAATCTTTGGAGGGACACACTGCGCAGGCCAAGGTGGAGACCATGGAGGGTCTCGTGGGCAAGGGCGTTTGCACCGGCGAGGGGGTCGTGTCTTCCCCAGAGAAGGGAGCAACCTCCGCCGAGGAATGTCGCCTCGCATGCAAAGGCAAGATCGAAAAGAATGCAGCAGACGAATCTTTTGATACCTGCACGGGTTTCAGCTGCCCGCCTTTTTTCAAGATCACGTTTTAATGTGGAATTCATGATGTTTAACATGTATCTTAGACCCGGAACAAGAGGTGTTCAATGGAGATCCACAAATAGTGTAGGGTAGTCCATTGGAAACACCTTGGAAAGGTGCTGGTACATTAAATTGGGAGTTTTTGAAGGTCTATAGCCAAAAACTGAAAATGCAGGTCAAGTCGCAAGTGAACCACGCGGATGTCCCGCGGACCGTTTTTTGTTGCCGCCCAGTTTTCCTAAGGCTGGGATGCCAAGGGTGCCTCCTGTGTGACCTATGGCGCCTGGCCAGTGAAGAAAGCCGATCCTTCTGCAGGCCGATCCGATTCCCTGCCGCGGATGCTGATCAGTCGGATGCGAGTCATGCCAAGCACGAGCAACAGAGACACCAAAAACACGAGAGGTACTCTCTGACTCCCTAACGAAGTGGAACATGACCCCTTGGAAGACTACTTTCCTTTACAAACAGGAGGTTATCCACTTGTTAGAGATTCGGAGTTTATCGAACTGCACAAACATTTTGTGACATGGCGACATGCCCCCAACGGCCTGGGCATGAACTACATGACTCATCACGGATCAGGCATATTGCACGACCCGTGCTTCTTGGATTGGATCTCCCAGCCGCAATCCTTTTTTGCCAGGACCTGATGCCAGCTGCTACTCCATGTCGGTGGGCCGCCGGCTGGGTCAGCTGGAAGCACCCAAGGAGGCCAGTGACCTGCGATTCGCCCGCCCTGGACCACTCACATGGTCCGTATTTTCTATTGGTGTGTGGGGGAGTGGTAGCAAAAACAAATAGCCCACCAGAACCCGAACCACAGCGAAGGTGTGTAAGCCAGGCTGGCGGGATACCTTTGAAGTTCGCTTCGTCGCCTCTGGTGGCACTAGGTAGGAGGCTTGCCAGGGAACCAGGTGGAACCAACCCGGTGGCAGCTTGGGGTCAAAGCATGTCAAACATGGGAGTTGAACCAACAGCCAACACACAACCGAGGGGTGCCAGGGTAGCTTTGCTGCTGACACAGCTGGAAGGCAGAGGGAGGCAACTTTATCATGGGAACTTTCATTGCTATTGGCTTCCATGGTTGTTTTCTTGAGAGGGCAGGTGTTCATTGATTGACTTTGCTAGCGATGGGCCAGGCTCCCAATTATTTGGGCAGGCAAGACGAAGGCACAAGTCTTCACTCAAACATGAGAGTTATTGCCAGCACCTGCACCTGGCAGATGTTCCAAGGGCTTGTTGGATACTCCATGTTTAGAACATATATGCCTACTGCCTGCTACACTGATACCTCCAGCCATCCCGCTCTGATATATGCCGTATTATACCACACCTGAAGTGTTTGGATTTGATCATGTTTGATCAAACTGGGAGGAGGTCGACTTGGACTTCTTCGCAGAGCTGCTCTCCAACAGCGAGGGCTCTTCACATTTGAACCTCGTCTCGGCGGTGCCCAGCTGCTTTCAAAGCTTCTCGTGGTATGGTCTCAATGCGCCGATCGAGGTTCCCAGCAAGAGTCTCGAGATGATCAAACACATGGTCACTTGGGCTGGAACGCCACGGTTTTGGAACGCATGGCCGAACACATGGCCGTCCGAAGTCCACAATAAGGGGTAGCTTTTTCGCGTTCCAAAGGAGACGCGTGACACATTAGTTTTGGTGGATTCTTCCTTTTACCAGGGAGGGTATACCTTAATCGTTAAAGTCTAGTAATACAGTATTATATATATATATATACTACCCATATACTACCCAAATTGCAATTTTTGTGGTGTCTTGGACAGATTGAACTCCCTGAAGACTTCCCCCTTAGCATGAGCTTGGGGTTTTGTAGAGGATGTACGGCGTGTACGGATGTGTACGGGTCCAAATCCAGTGATCATAGACTGATTCCCTGGGGCATGTGCAGTGAGGCATGTGTCAGTCGTTCTCTCCGTTCAACCCATTTGGTGTACGGACCACGCAACTCCCTTCACCATGCGCCACTCGTCCCTCCCAGGTCCGGAAGGAGGCGAAACTGTTCCGCCCCCTGGCGGCCTCCGAGAGCCAGCATGCCGTCAAGGTGCTGGTGCAGCCAGCCTGCTTCCAGGACGGCACCCGTGAAACACCACGAGACCGTCCGGTGTGGTGCGGCGTGACTGGCATGTTCCTGCATATAGGGACTGGGTTGGTCACCATGGAATGATTTAGGAATCGAACTTGTGCCTCTGAGATCCTTTGAGTGCTTGTCACTACTCGATCTTTGGGATGGATACATGATTCTATCATTCAAGGCTCCAAGGACAGTTCGTGCCTGAGCTCAGTGCCGCTCGCTCAGTGCCACTCTTCGATTCTTCATTCACCCATTCGAATGCCACTGCTCCAGGACTGCAGCGGACAGCTTTTGGGCGCCTGCCAGAAGCAGAGCGCCATCCTTCAGGAGCTCATCGCTGAGGCGAAGGCGGAGACGAAGACGCCCGCCTTGAAGCAGTCCCTTCGGCGGCAGACGGGAGGCGGAAGACGGTGGAAGCGTTCGGGGGCACTTTGGAAGTTCCTTTGAAGAGACGAAAGACTTGGAATAGAGGGACGGAGAGATGCTTAAAGGCTGAAGAAAAGAAAACGCCGGAGGAAGTAGATAAAATGATGATTGATGAATAGATTTGTCCAGAGAGCACGCCACGACATGACAATTTTTCAGCGACCTCAAGATCCACATGAAGTTGTGATCCAGAAAGGTTAAGGGGGCGTAGAGACTTGAGAAGCAGGGTATCTCGTTTGGGAGGCATAAAACTCTGTTTTTACATGTTTTTACTCATTTCCGGCCAAATGCGGTCAGTGTGGTTTTGCTTTACAGCGATCGAGCCCGCCCCTTCCTCAGGCACTACTATGAGCCGATGCCCTCGCCGGAAACGCGTGGGGGCAATATGATGTTCACGCTCATGGGCGACTGGGTGGTGAGACTGGTAAGCCTTTTTGCCTTTTTGCTGATGGATTTGTCCATCCTACCGGAAGGGTTCTCCCGGTCCGGACAAATCTCTAGCCTGATAGTCCGACCGTAAGAAAGGTCCTCCTGGTTTTTGGATGTCTTGCATCCTGCCTTCAACAAGTGTTCGCAAAAAAACACGTATCCGTGGGAGAAATCTCAGCCCTGCAGGCGAAAGTGCCTATGCCGAAGTCTTCTCAGAGCGGGATGGTGTGTGGGCATGGAGCCTGATCTTTGGTGCGGCGTCCTTGGCATTGGGCTTCTTGGTGGCGGCAGGATGCATCGGTTGGTGCACCTATCGCCCTGCACCGCCGCAGGCTGACCCCAGCAAGGCAGGGAAGAAACGACAAAGTAATCCGGAAAAGTCCATTGTTTAAGTCCTCCTGGTCCTCCTCTTGATATGATCACAATCCACAATTGTCAGACTGGACTGATGGAAATGAAAGACCCAGAGCTTCTAGACATGTTGACAGATGCCACTGGGTTCGACGACAGACTTGTGAGGTGGTGGCTCGACTCCTCTACGAAGGGCCTGAAGGAGAGAGGGAAGTCCTCCTGGAGCCAGCCGCATTTCGGACCTCCACCACACTCCCCACCGATGCCGGGCGAATCTTACGGTTGGAAGGGGTTGTATACGACACGTCGTACACAGCAAGTAAGCTTATAGGTACAGCTCGAAGTTATAAGGCTTGTGTACCGTAGCCATGCAGGAGACTCCAATCTTTCAAAACATTGAAATCCTTGCCTCTTCATTTTGACCAAGCCTGTGGGAACTTGCTTCCTACCATGGTCATGCCCGCTGCGCCCAAACAAACATGTGGCTCACCAAGGATCCTGGCATCACAAAGGTGGACATGAGTGGCGCACAGAAGAGCGGCTTCTTCAGCTACATGGGTGGCTCTCAAGCAGCTGGCCCATAGGATGTTTCACGGACATGGGGATTCCATGTGGGCAATGTCCAACATTCACCCTGCCATGTCCTTCCGTGTCGAAGGAGTAGGACTGAGTTGGAGGTTCATCCGGTCATTCAGGACACTGGTGGTTTTCCCACAACAGAGATCTGCTCACATTCTGCACAGCTTTCGCAACACCAAAACAGCATCCAGCAGGAGGAGGCAGAGAACTGAAACAAATGCTTCCTTCGGTGCGCAATTCGGTGTGATGTGCAGAGCGCCTCTGGAGACTGATCGGCGCGATGGGAAACAAGGAGACGGGCGATGGGGACGTCGGACTTCTTGCTAAGACCTATAAAGGAATTCTTGCCAAGATAAAGGAATTTAACGTGTGTTGCACGTGCTGCTTGCAATCAGGACTCAGTGATGTTCTCATATTAGTGCATAATTAGAAAGAAACTGCAGCCGGCGATTGATTCAGTTCCTTTTTCAGTCCCTTTTCCAAGTTGATGGAAGATGGAGAAGTGTAGGTTCTACAGTGCCACGTCGAATTGGATTTGGGCCCAGCTGCCGCCACCGAGGCTCCAACCACCGAGAGGAATGTGAAAAAGTCCAAGCGGCACTTGAGGAACGCACGCCTAGTGCTTTGTGTTTCTTTCTTTGACTCGGAGGGAAGCTTTTTATCATGGACACCCATGCAAAGGATTGAGAGGATTGAAGAGTCGAGGGGATGGATCCATGAGCCTCAAATTGGCGATCTTTTTTAAATCAACCATACCGTTTGATGCTTTCGAAGCCGGGAAGGTGAGTGCGGGGAGACGGATTCCTGGAGTCGGGCTTGGTCCTTCATGGCAGCCAACTGGTCGTATGAAGTTGAACTGACAAGAGTTTTATTTAGTGACATAAAGTGACCGAAGTTGATCTCAGTGACTTAGTCCCTGAACAGGTCAATAGAGACTCCAAACAGGTCTCTTTGGTCCTTCAGGGTGTGTTTTTTCAATGTTTTTCAGTTGCGGTCCTTCCTTTGCTCAGTCACCGGAACGCGCATCTCTTGCGAGGACCTGCAAGAGCAGCTTGCGATCATTTGCGACGAGCGCGACTTGGTCCGGGCTCTCAAAACCCGGACCACCGATCTCTTGGAGCGGCGGTGCCACGTGTCGCGGTGTCTCAGGATGTTTTGGCTGATCTTGATCCAGACCATCCATGGTATGGAATAGTTACCTACAGTACATTGGCATTAGGGTCGTAAATAGAGTGAATGTATGCAACTATTCCATACATGGGTGCATATTTCAGTTGATCCATTGCTTTCCGTTTTCGACACATTGAACACCGCCCTGATGTCGGGATGGATCAGGAAGCACTGCTGGTGGAGGTTGCGCAGTATGCCAGTATGCTTTTGGGAGGAATCTTTGGGGCGACATATGTTGCAGATATTTGCAGATTCTACAGTTGGAGTCGTATCCAAATTGCCCATTCAAAGACTGACCATAAATATAAACCATAATCTACAGATGGCATGACAAACTGAGCCCGCCAGGCAGCAACACCAGGGATACACCCAAGGGATCTTGACAGGTTTGTATGTTTTGGGGCATAGGCTTTAGGAGTTCTTCTTGGAGGTGAAGCATTAGGGCCTCGTTTTCACGAGCTTCGGTCTATGGTTGAGGCCCCAGTTTCAGGTCGCTTAGCCTGTTGCACAGGTCACCTTTTTCAATGCCACGCAGGGATCCTAACTAAAGGTAGGTCACTTTGAAGAAGCTGGTGCTTTGGTTGGCAAATTTGTTACCCCAAGTTTTGAGAAGCAAATCTGTTGCTGACCCCCTGTTTGTTTGTTTGTTTGCTTGTTTGTTTGCCCATCTCCCAAGAGGTGGTGATCTAAGGTGGTCCCGTTTGTGCGCGTTGGTGAGGGTTGGTGGTGCCGGCTGAGGCTCGTTCACACGAGCTCGAGTTCTTCTATGCATTGAGCTCAGCATAGCTCAGTCCATGCTGAAGCTTTCAGCTGGAGCTCTTTTTTGGGCAGCTTATGGATACGGTCATTTTTGGACATGGATGATTCAAACCAAAGTCCATGCAGCCTTAAACAGTTGAGCAATCAGCCTACCACAATTTGGTTGCATCTTCGGACATTTTCACACGGGAATCGGAGACCACTGACATCGAAGACGCACGTTGAAACCGCGCACGACAAAGGACCGTGACATACCGTGCTCCGGTTTCCCCACGCTTGGTGACCCCGGAAACATCCGGAAACCGTCGGCGGCGGCCGCCCATGCATGTTGCAGGTCTTAAATCGCAAGGACGTGGAGCTGGTGGAAGCGTTTGGGGACCCCAATTGATCCGGCCCAGGCAGCACAGGTCGACCGTTGTCGGGGTGTGGGAAGAACGGGGGGAATGATCGGGCCCCCACGAGCGGCGGCAGAAGCAAGCAAATTGGTGACAGCTGGAAACTGCGGATGAAATGATAGTCAGGTGGTGAAGTCTCATGTTTTTTTTGTAAAATGAGGCCCTAGCATTGGGGGAAAGATGTTGGGGAGGTCGCATCGATTTTCGCAGTTTGCGAACGTGATTTGGAAACCTTGGTTCATTTGCTGGACTTGTGGCTCACATGGGCAGAAGAACAGCTGCCATGCACAATCACTATCATTTAGTCATGAGTAAAGAACTTTCCATCCACTGTTTCCTTAAGAGTTGGAACTTTGTTGCTCTTTGCTTCTTGCGGCGATGCACACGCCACAGAAGCGCACTCGTGCGAGCGAAGGGTCACCATTGTCTTCCAAGATGGCATCATCCCTAAAAACTTGATGTGACTTGAGCTCCAGGCTGTAGATGGTACAATCAAATGTTGAAGCCGTGGCGATTTTCCATTTTTGAAGCGTTTCCATGCCAGAAGCAACTTGTGGGGCCTGGTCCAAAGAGATGTCAAGGGCAGGGAGATTAACATCATGGCTGAATCCTTGCGTTTCCATGCCAGAAGCTTGTTGTGAATACATTGTAAGTGTGCTTCGGAAGGAACTTCAGGACACATCAAAAGCATTGCCAAATCTTTGCGTTTCCATGCTTGAAATTTCCATTGGGGAACACCAGTTTTTTCTACTATGCCGTGACTTCCGCGGCTGAGTGTATTTCCTTTAAAGTTGTGGTGCACACAGCCTGCTCATAGTTCGCTCTGTTCAATTTGTAGGAGGTGATGGGGAGCGCTCGCAGAATTTCATGATGCATGGGTGCATCCACCCAAAATTGGGCCCACTCAGCATGAATCGGTGTCTTTTGCATTCCAGAAAGCCTGTAGACTCAGTAGACCCTCTTCCATCAAGGAGAGCCACTGAGGCGAAAAGCATTGGCTGATCTCACACAGCATGTCAAGGCACGGAAGATGAATCAGCGGCGCTAGAGGATGTGACGGGAAGTCATTCATTTGTAACAGTGTGTTAATACCAAATTAGGGTGATTCCAGCAAATAATGAACACATAAAAAACAGTGATTTGGATGCAAAACATGTTTAAGTATGCAAGCCGGTTTTGCAGCGACACTCAGCTGCGTATGTGGTAGCAGGACGGGAGGCTCAAAATGGTTCAAAAGGGTGTTCCTTAAAGCTTGCGTTCATTACGCAGGTTGAACTTGCTTTGCGTGGTTGACATCCTGAAGACCTGCCGAGCTTTCACGTCAACTGTGGGAATTCAACCTCTCACTACTGCCCAATCTTAGTGCTAAGTATTGAGAAACATATTCGTGTAAAACTACGACCTCAAAAAAGCGACAGTGTCGATGCCAAGTCGCTGGGAGAACTCCGCCTAGTCGTTGTGTTTTAGTGCTTTTTTACTTCTGGGATCCCCGGTGTGCCCCCGCGTGTGGAGCGACACACGCTGTCCCGTCTGGACGGATGGGTTGGATCTGGGTGACTTGGGACGCCCGCGTTCCAAGCCGCAGGTTTGAAGTCCAGTAGTTTGTGCCAGGGGCTTTAAGGGGGCAGTCCAAAATGCATGTCTTTATAGATCTTTATATTGTTTCTTTTTTTAAATGTGCAGTAATCTTTTTATATATGCATCCCACGACCCCTTTTATTTTTCAACGTGACCAAGGTAGGCTTTTCATGGGTGCACTGGCGTTCCATTGTGCATGACATGGTCCCGCTTTCCAGGAGGGGCAGATCGCTGATGAGGCAGCAGAGCTTTTGACTAGTGCCGGTCCCACTCAGCACCCGACGTCAGCAATTGCAGCTCCCGTTTTGGATGGACAAAGCATGAACAACACCTTGTACTGATACTCCTTGAAATCATCCAGGAAGTGGATGGCATTGGCCCTTGGATGACCATTTTCCTCAACAAACAATTGGTGAACTCCACTTCCATATTGATCCAGATTTGAACTCGATCGATAAAGCTTGTGGTGTTCTATATAAAAGATTCTAAAATCGTCCAGCCTGGCACGTGCCAAGCTGGACCTAACCTGACCTAATGTGATGCAAAAACGCCCACGCCGAAGCCCAACCAAGGGGTACTTTGGGTCGCCCAACGACGTGTTTCTCAGGAACTGGAGAACTACCAAAAGGAACTGCAAGTGAAGAGCTCAGCATCATTCTCGATTTGCCTGACTTGACGACATGCTCAAACTGAGCCTGTGAAGACCTGCCAACCTCAAAGAGCGAAACCCATGTGCATGCAACTCTCATATGACTTTCGGGGTCGAGGAAGCTTACGACCGCTGCAACCACATAGAGGCCAACTGCGATTGGACGTTCCAGCATTCCAGCACACGTGGGGAACGTCATCGTGCTTCGTCATCTTCCCATCCCTCATCTAACCCATTGGATGGTTGGAAGTCCCGAACACCAAATGGTCTACATTGGGTGACAGAAGGCTTTGGAGCTGCTTTGGACAAAGCATTTGTCCTGGCTATATCATGCCAGGTGTTCTGATAACCGAGTTTCTATCATGCGAGGTTAGTTCTACCTGTTTCTCTCCCCAATCTCCTCTCATGTTGATGTGACTAGATGGGACTTCCTTCTATGCCCTTTAGCTATTTT